GGAGGAGGAGGAGGGAGGAGGAGGAGGAGGAGGAGGAGGAGGAGGAAGAGGAGGAGGAGGAGGAGGAGGAGGAGGAGGGAGGAGGAGCTAGGGGAGCCAGAGAAACCAGAGAAACCAGAGGAGCTGGAGGGCAGGGGCACGGCATGCCCGGCCGCCCTGGGACAGGCGCCCCCCTGCCACGGCGAGGGGCCGCAGCTCTCTATCTTACACCGGCCGGCGCCGAGCAGACACCCCGAGAGCCCGCCCCGCGGGAGCTCCGACCTCCTCCTCCTCCCTCCTCCTCCTCCTCCTCCTCCTCCTGCTCCTCCTCTCCTCCTCCTCCTCCTCCTCCTCCTCCTCCTCCTCCTCCTCCTCCTCCACGCGCGCGAGGGAGGGGCCACGAGCCTGCCCAGCGCGCGCGGCGGTGGCCGAGCGCGGCAGCTCGGGGCGTGGGTGCAGACGCCCGTGCCCTCCCACCGCACGCTCCACGGAGAGCTCTGGAGGCCCTGCGCCAGAACGCTCTCGGTGAAGTCTCGCTTGGCCCCCCCCCCCGCGTTCCTCGCGAGCCCTCAAGGCCTCCTCTGGGATCGCTTCGCTCCAGCTGCCTGACTCTCCCCCCCCCCCCCCCGACATCCAACGTTTTGATGTTTCATGTCGAAACATGGGCGCCCGACCTCTCGACCACTTCCTCGGGACGCGCTTTCCATCCTGAGCCGTTTTTGGACGGTCCCGAGGCCCAGCAAGGGCCCCGAGAGGCGGAAGACGATTACAAAACCCTCCGTCCCGATTTCTTCGAGACGCTGGATGTCTGCCCCCCTCGACCTCAGATCCGGGCGTCGCGGCAATTACAAAAAGCTGGTCGCTCGTCTTTGCGGGCCTCTGGGGGCCGGGTTCCAGGCCCATGGGGCCGTCCCCTTTGAGAGTCGGCGGCCTCGGAGCGGGCCCGTCGCGGTCACGCTGGCGCTGGGCCGCAGGGGGGCGCAGGGGGCGAGAGCGCCAGGCGGGGGGGGGGGGCAGGCAGGGCGCCGAAGATTGCCCCAAGAGAGCCCAGGGGCTTCGATCCGCCAGGGCGACGCCCGACTACCCCCAGGACGGGGCCCGACCAGCCCGGGCGTGACTGGACTAGCCGCTAGCCAGCGCGGGGCTCGACTGGCGAGGGGGGGGTGCTGGGACCGTCAACGGACGACTGGGGATGCGAGGCCCGCCCCGGGGAGGCGGTCGAGATCCCCGAGGGGGCCCGCGTCGCGAAAGGAAAAGCAGCGTCGGAGACTGTCCAGCTGCATCGGAAGGGCCCGTGCTCGAGACCCAGACGTGCGATGCCCTGGCTTTTTGTCGCGGTCCCCCGAATTCCCGACCCTTTCCCCTGGGCCCGTTTTTCGCCCCGAATAATGCACTTTTTGACGGTCCCGGGGCCCAGCGAGGGCCCCTGGAGGCCGAAAACGGCTAAAAGGCGCCCGTGCTGTTGGGTTTTCACGATGCGGGCATGTCTGGGGAGCCAGGGGTGGGCAGCTCAGGAAGAGCCAAGCAGACCCTGGAGGCTCCCGGGGCTCCAGGCCCGGGCCCCGCCCAGGCGGCCCGCGAGGTGCAGGTCGCGGACGCGACATCCCTCTGGAGTCGACGCGCGGCCGTGCGAGGTTTGGGATCCCAGTCCCCTCTAAGTACGAGCAGAAGGAGGAGGCGGAGGAGGAGGAGGAGGCGGAGGAGGCGGAGGAGGAGGAAGAGGAGGAGGAGGAGGAAGAGGAGGAGGAGAAAGAGGAGGAGGAGGAGGAGGAGCAAGGAGGAGGAGGAGGAGGAGGAGGAGGAGGAGAAGGAGAAGGAGAAGAAGGAGGAGGAGGAGGAGGAGGAGAGAGGAGGAGGAAGGAGAAGGAAGAGGAGGAGTTGCCTCGGAGTTGCCTGCCATCCACATGAGGTGGGGGCGCACCTATGGCAACACTGATGGCTCGTGCCATAAGACCCCAGGTGGGCGACGCAGAGCTGCTTCGCGGCGTGCCCTACCCAGGTCGTATTCCGCCACCGCAAAGGGGACGCGACGACCTGGGTGCAGACCCTTGCGGATCCGCGCCAGGTTTTCGCGCCCCTTCCGAGTGGCCCCGCCGCAATCCCCGAGCAAGTTGACGGGGTTGGTCGAGGCCGTGCACCCGCACCGCGCGCAGAAATACAGACTGTGGCGCGGCCACAGCTGCACGCGGTGCGATGAGTGAAGAATCCCCCCGCCCACCCGAACCTCAGCCCCCGCGTCCCGAATGATGTCGGCAGGGCGCGGCTCGCCTGAGCCGCCCGCAGCCGTGCACGGGGAGGCGCAGGCCTCCACAAGACAGGTGCCCAGCACGAGCTGGTGGCAGAGGGCGCAAGCCCAATGGCGAGCAGCACGTACGAAGCAGTGGCTGGAGGCGAGGAGCGCCTGCTGGGGGGCGGGGGGGGTGGCCGCGAGGGCACGAGAAGGCCGCTCCGCAGTCCAGGGGGCGTCGCTCCCATTCCGAGAGCTCGGGGGCCTCGGGATCGAGGTGGCTGGGGCCCACGTGGCCCTAACCTCCCCCTCGTGCTCCAGGAAGGCAGCCCTAACTAGGCGCCAAAGGCTGGCGTTGGGGCCTGTACCCCCGCCGGACCCCCGCCCGAGCGGTGCAGGCCTTTTTCCCAGCCCCGCATCAGCCTGGCGCAGTCCGCGACGTAGAGCTGCGGACCCTGGGAGGTGGCCAGAACGAGCGCAAAGGCGCGCAGCTCCGCCCGAGGAGCAGTCTGATGGCGGCCGTCGAGGCCGCACGCTACGCCGGCAAGACGGCGGAGGCCGCTGGGGGTGAGCTCAATGACCACCGCGGCAGCTCCGACACGGCGCACACGGGCGTCGCCACTGAACTGCCCGCCCGAACCGTCTCCAAAGACGACCAGGCAGGAGTGAGAATCATGCCACGCACGCGCCGAGGTGTCGGCGCCAAGCGGGCGCTCGGAGTCGCCCCCATCCCGCCCCGCCGTCCACACCGTCGCCCCACCCCGCCCATCAGCGAACGAAGGAGTGGCGAGGGAGGAGGGAGGGAGGCCACGAAGCCAGAGGGAGGGGAGCTGGCCCTGGCCTGAGAGGGCCTGGGGAAGGAGAAAGTCCGAGTCCTCATAGCCAGGGCCTCGGTTACAACGACATCCCCAGATTCTGTGAAACAGGGTCTCGGGGGCCTCGCCGCACCTGGGGCAGGGCGGGGGGGCGAGGCACCCCGCTTCAAGCTGCCTCTGTTGCAGCCACTGCCCCCCCGACGCAACCGTGACAATCTGTCCTACTTCATCGTGCGAGCCCGCGCGCGCCGCGCGACGAATCTCGAGACGGATCGGACTTAAATCGGCGCCCCCGGACAAGCCTTCCCCGAACTGATGAGACGACGCCGCCGCCCAGTGGGAGGAGGGGGGATCTTCGCGGAGGTCGTCGAGGAGCTCGGAGAAATCGAAAGCACCCTCGCTCCTCTGCTCCTCGGGGGGCGGGGCGGGAAAACGCCAGATGCCCCAGCTGTCACCGGCGGGCCTGCGCCATTCAAACGCAGAGACGGGGGGCCGGCCGAGGTCGAGGAGGGTGGCCTGGACGGCTCCTGTGGGCCCCCTCACTGTGCGCCAACGCTTATTCGCATCACGACCCATGCGCACACGCACACGCGGCCACGCACGGACGATGCGAGCATGCAAGGAGGGCGCGTGCGCCCACATGTCAAGCCACGCCGTGACAAGCTGAACTCTCAACAAAATCGCTGGTTCCTGATCGCCAAGCATCACCGACAAGATGGTCGTGAGGCACCTACCTGGCCCCTTCCTTGCGACGGCCGACGCGGCTTGCCGTCGCAAGACGGTGATAGAGAAGGGGGAGTGCCCATGACGGGGTGCCCGTAGGAGGCCTGGGGCAGAGCCCCTTGAAGAAAGAGGCCCTCGGCAATGTCGCACAGCTTCGCATGCTTCCGAAGACGGAGAATCCTGCGCGCACGATGCCGCCCCTTGGGCCTCCTGGCACTGATCTTTTGCACAACTCGCCTGGCGCCTGCTGCGGTGTCGCACCCGAGATCGACTGCACGCTGAACTCGGGAGAAGGGGAGCCCGACTTCCTGGATATCATTCTCAAGATGACGGCCTAAAGATGGCGAGGCTGTGATCAACTTCGTCTTGTCCAAAATCGGCAACCCAGCCCCCCCCCAAAAAAAACGACGACGCCAACTGGGCTCCCGCGGCCCGCAACTGCTGCCTGACAGACGACTCAGCGCCTTCGCTCCTGACGACCGTTTCGTCAACAGAAATCCAGGGCCCAACTGGTGGGGCCCTCGGACAATTCGCACTGGCATGCGCAGCTTGCAAAATCGGCCCGAGGAAAACCTTCGCAAGTTCAACCCCGTGCGCCGACCCCGCAACGATGGACCGCCCGTCGTCCTGGCCTGGAGAACCCTCGGCGCCAGGAGCAGCTGGACTTCGAGCAGGGTCGCTACAGGTGGGAAGCCCTGCTCACTAGAGACCTTCATGAGCAATAACAGACTGACGTTGTCGTAGAATTTCTCAATGTCGAGCAAAAGGGAGGCCGACATGAAACCCAACGACGCCGACGACTCGTCCATCACTGCTCTGACGATCGCCGCCCTGAGGGCGCTACTCTTCTTCACCGCAGTGTCCGAGTACTCTCCGAGACTTTCAGACCACTGGTCGGCGAGGGTGGATCGAGCGCGGAACCAAATGCCCGCCGCGGTCGGGAGCAGCCCGATCACCCTGTCGCCTCCAGCGAGCTTGGGGATCGCGCAGCAGACGGTGAGGGGAAGCTGGCGCGGCCAGCTGCCGAGGCAACCAGCGGCGTTGAGCACGTCCGTGAAGCCCTAGCGCCCCTGCCGCGGCAGCCTCTGGATGTCCAGCGGCGAGAGGACGTCGACGCCCTTGGCCTTGGCCCCCGACATGCGCCCGACGATGCTGTCCACCTGCTCCACCTCCAGCGGCTCGAGCGGCTGCTGCTGCGCCTCTCGCCAAAGGAAACGCAGGCCCTGGAGGAGGTCGGGGCGCGACGCTGATGGGTCCTGCCAGCGCGGCTCCCAGCAGGCAGCCTTGTCGGCCAGCAGGGCTGCCGGGTCGGCCGCGGCCTCTGGGGCTGCGGCCTCGGCCCTGACGTCCCGGCGGGCCGCATCTGGGCGCCTCTTCCAGCAGTCCTGAGCCCAGCGCACGAACGCGTGGCCAGCAGCAGCCAGACTGCGCGCGAAAGCCCGCTGCACCAGCACGTGGGTGCGCTCGACCGCGGCGCGCAGCTCCTCCAGCTCCGCTGCGGCGCGAGTGCTGGAGTGGACCGCCGCCGTCCAAGCCTCGACGTCGGCCGTGCCCATGCGCTTCCCGAAAATGACGTCCTCGGGCTGGCTCTCGCCCTGCTCCATCATCCTCCCGATGGTCTCGACGGTGGTGAGCTGCTGCTGGTGGTCGGAGTTGTGCTTGCGCAGCGTCGACAGCCTCGTGAGGAGGGTGTCCAACGTCCACCGCCATTCCACTGCGGGCGCCCTCATGTGCGCCCTTCCTGGAGACGGTTTCATCCATGCCAATGTCAGGTCTGGAAATTCGGCTCGACCTGGGCATAACCTACGCGCGGTGTCGTCCGCGCCCTCGACCTGGAGCACCGCCCCTTCCAGCGTGCTCACCCAGCGGCCGTAAAGGTCGGTGACCGCACCGACCCCTGAGCCCGCAGGGACAGTCCATGCCTCGCCAACGCGCGACGGCGCGCGCGGCTGGCTTGCGACTGCATCAGACGCCAGGTCCCAGGCTTCAGGAGGGATGTGGAAGGCCACCTTCACCTCCGAGGGCCCTGCGCGCTGGCGACCTCGAAGTCCTCGGCCAGGTCGTCGAAGGCGGCGCGCAGGTTCGGGTCGACGTCCTCCCTGCGAGGCCGCCTCTGCTCCAGCATCCTGCGCGCCCGCTTGCTGCCCTCCTGCGGCAGCCTGCGAGGGCGCTCGCGGGGCGGCAAGGCCCGAGGCACCGCTAGAACCTGGTGCCACCACTGCTCGTGGCCGCTGGCGATGTCCAGCCCCAGGCCCACGCGCGTCTTCCAGGGCCCCTGCAGACAGGCGCGGAGCTGCAAGAAGGCCTCGAAGCCGCGCTTGGTCACCGCGAAGTCGATGAGCGACGAGCCCGCGGCCGTGGAGCACGTGATGTCCACGTCGGGCTTGACGATGGTGCCGTCCGCCAGCTGCGTGAACTAGGAAGCCTGCAGCTGCTCCGCGCTGAGGTTCCAATCGCCGATGCTGACCCACGGGTCGGCGAGCGTCGTGACGGAGCGCCCGGCCGACCGAAGGCGCTCGACGCTGGCGCCCCCCAGCTCGCCGCCAGGGAAGGTGCGCCGCCGCGACGACGAGGCCCCCCCGCTGGATGTGCAGGGTGACCGCCTGGAAGCCCATGCACTGCGACATGCCTAGCATGCGCTCCCAGGAGGTGGCTGCCAGGTGCTTCAGGGCGAAGATGGCCTCGCCACCTCTGCATCCCGAAGCAGACTTGACCGACTGCACGGCTGGGGCGACCATGGCGAGCCAGCCGTCCTTGGCAACCGCCGTGCGGATGCCCTGCGCGTCCGCTGCTTTCCTGTGCATCTCCACGAATCACACCGCATTGTACTGTCGTCCTTGGGCCCGTAAGAAGCCGATAGACCCCGGGCCCCATTCCGCAATACTGCCAAAGGTAACTGCAGCCGCGACCTTGCGGGCAGGTCCCGTGCCATACAGCTCGCCACCTCGCTCTCCACGCCGAGGGGCGATGGCGTTGCCCGCCGCACCAACATCCCGAAGAGTGCGTCGAAGTAGCGATCCTGCGCCGCCCCGACTTGGAGCCGAGCCACCAGCCTGGCAACGAGACGGCGTCATAGGATCATCCTGGTGCGCGATGGGGGCGGCCGGCGCGCCCGCCACCATCCTCCGCAGAGTGGGCACGACAGCGCGGGTTCCACCCCGCCGCCCCCCCTGGGAGACGCAGGGAGTACTCGTCCTCCCCTTCTCCCCCACCGTGGCCAGCGGTGGTTTGACTCCTGAGTGGGCTCGAGGTGGTGGGTGCCTCTTCATGATCTGCGATCCCGCTCACTTCAGCGGGCTCGCCGTCCGAACATCTGTCGAGCTCTGCGAACACATCGACCTCCTCCAGGTCCAGGCGGCTGCGGTTCTGCAGGGACACGTTGACCGATGGCTGGGCGAGGGACTGATCCTCCCGCGCAGCAGTCACGGCCTTCTCCTCGCCGCCCCCGCTCGACACGGAGGCTTCATTCCTCCTCGGGAATGTCGCGTCCGAGGGCGCGGCGGAGGCTTGACCACTTGAGTTTCCCTCTGGGTGGCTGTCCTCATCAGGCCTGCTCGCGGCCTGATATGCGGGGCCGAGGTCGGGGGCCCCGCTGGCCCGCTCCTCAGGGCGCGACGGCCCCCGCCGCTGCGGCAGCCGCCGCGGCGGGGGCCTGGGCCCGATCCGAGCCTGGGCGCGCCGCCGCCCAGAGGCGCGAGCCTGGGCCGCTACCCGCTGCGCGTCGGCGCCTGGGGCTGCACCTGCGGTGGGCTCGCGCGCGGCCGCGTCCCCATCCGCCGCCCGCGTAGACGGTGGGCGGGGCGGAGCCGAGGCGGCCGCCTCTGCCGCGGCCGCGGCGCCGCCTGCCCCTGGAGCGGCAGCCGGCGCGGCGGCGACGGGACCAGCGCCTCCGCGCCGCTTCTTGCCCATGCGCTCCGCGTGCTCCTGGTGCTGCTTCTTGACAGCCTTGGCGACGTCGGCGGCCTTCTGGAAGACCTCTCGTGCCACGGAGGTGATCTGCTCCTCCAGCTCGGCGCGGCGCCTCTGGACCTCCTCCTTGTCCTCCTGCGAGATGTCCTCGTCGCCGAAGTCGAAGATGCTGCCCATGTCGACCTTGGCGGAGTCGCAGGTGCCGTCGAGGAGCGAGCCCAGGACCAGGACGGGCTCGGAAGCCTTGATCCTGCTCTTGTGGAGCTGCGCGATGCTGCTGGGTGTACTCCTCGAGCTGCTTGCTGATCTGCTCGACCTGGTCGCGCTGCTCGTCGGCCGCCTTCTCCAGCTTCTCGAGCTGTTCGATGGCGGCGGCCAACTTCTTGACCTGCCAGCCCCTGGTGTAGGTGACGCCCGAGAGCTGGGTAGCCAGCGGCTTGGGGGCGGGAGGCGTCTCCTGCTTGGTGATGGCGGCCCTGCAGCGGCGCTCCAGGTCCGAGTTGCCGAGCTTGACGGCGACGGCGAGGAGGTGCTGGAGCTCCGCAGGGTCCAGCTTCTCGACCTGGATGCCGCCATGCCCAGCAGCGCCACCAGCGCCACCAGCAGCAGGGCGCCCGCCCGCCCATTGCCCACGTGGCCGCGGGGTCTGGGCCTCGCTCGGCTGGTCGTTCTTGGGGCTGTAGCAGTGCTTGCACCAGTACCACGTGGCGTGGTTCTTCCCGCAGCCGCAGATCGCGCACTTCCACATCGGACCCGACTGGATCCATGGCGCAAGCTTCCTGGGTGCCAGAGGCAGATGCGATGCGGCAGACCACGCTGGTAGTCGGCTTCCCTGCACCGAAAGTCTGGCGAGCGCAAGACGGCGGCGCGCAGCGCGTCCATCCAGGCTCTCACTCCAGGGGCGGACCTGGAGGAAAAGCCGGGGTATGCCGCGGACTAGCGGTATCCGTTTCTGCCAATGCGGGCTCAGCCCGCCCAAGCATAGGTCTTGAGCCAAAATGGCGACGGAAGAAGGCAGAGGAGGAGAAGGAGGAGGAGGAGGAGGACGCGGAGGAGGAGGAGGAGGAGGAGGGAGGAGGAGGGAGGAGGAGGAGGAGGGAGGAGGAGGAGGAGGACGAGGAGGAGAAGGAGGAGGAGGAGGAGGAGGAGCGGAGGAAGAGAAAAGTAGGAGAGGAAGAGGAGAAAAGTAGGAGGAGGAGGAAGAGGAGGAGAAGGAGGAGGAGGAGGAGGAGGAGCGAGGAGGAAGAGGCGGAGGAGGAGGAGAAGGAGGAGGAGGAAGAAGAGGAGCGAGGAGGAGGAGGAGGAGGAAGAGGCGGAGGAGGAGGAAGGCCTATCTGCACTGGGCGCCGGAAGCAGCAAGCGCTCTCTTTGCCGACCTGGGCCTCGAGCGGAACACGAGCAAGACGAGGGTCTGGTGCCCAGACGGCCAGGTCGCTGCGCTGCCTGACGGGACAGAGGCGTGCGTCGTTGTCGCGCTGCCCTGCCTCGGTACTATTCTGGCTCTCGTCAGGGCTTGGCGCGACGCAGACGACGAGGAGTGGAGCGACACGCTCGCGGAGGTGTTCGACGAGACCTCCGTGGCCACCTGGGCAGCGCGGCTAGCCGACGACGGAGAGTCGCTCGTGCTGGGCTTGGCCTTCCCGCTGCGATGCTTGGGGTCGGAGGTCTTGCCGCCGTCGCTTGTCACGAGTTTGGCCTCCCCCCGTCGAGCCAGGCGGTCTCCAGCCGCAGCTGGTGTGTAGTTTGGGAGGCTGAGGATGACCGGCCGACCACAGGCCTCGTCCACCGAATCACCATAGCCAGTCGTCCCGACGGATGGTCCATCGTCGCTGACGCCACAAGAGCCAGCCTGTACTTTCGCGGGGGCTCGAGGGACAGAAGCAGGTCCCTCCCCTGCAGCACATCTGGCATCCATCTTAGAATTGAGAGAAGCCGTATCACGCGGCGCCGTCGATCCAGAAATATATGGATCAGGCACTGAGGGATCGCGGGCACTCTTCTGCCCCATCTCTTCTACGTCTGGCGCGTCGCCTGAAGCAGCCTGCGAGCCTCTCTGGGGCGTCGAACCCGCAGTAGACGCAGTAAGACAACTACCATCTACCATATCAGACGGTGCTGAGAGATCGCGGGCCCGCCTCGGCCCCATCTCCTCTACCCCTGGCGAGACGCCTGGAGCAGCCTGCTTCTTTCTCCAGGACGCCGTACCCGAAGTAAACGCCATAAGAGAACCACCGTCTGCCATCTCACAGGAAGCTGAGGGATCGCGGGTCCACTTCAACCCCATCCCCTCTACTCCTGATAGCACGCCTAGGGCGACTTCTCTCGGCAACCTTCCATGCGTACTCGGTCTCGTCACTGGCATTGACCTTCACCTCGCAGAATTTCTGCTCGGCGATGTACTGGCTGCAACCCTTCTTGGACAGGTAGGGCACACACACACATTCTCATCACACCATATCTACTTCTCTGGGACGCCGAACTCGCCTCGGACGCCATAAGAGATCCACCATCAGCCATGTCAGAAGATCCCAGATGATCGCGGGCCCACCTCAGCTCCATCCTCTCTACCCCTGGCGAGCCGCCTGGGGCGGCCTGCGCACTACTCTGGGATGCCCAACTCGCCGACCCCGTCGTAAGAAAATCACCGTCAGCGTCATCTGTGGACTTGACCTCCTCACGTAGGTCGGATAGCAGCTTGGAGAACAGAGCATCCACTCTCCGAGTGTGCCTCGCCCAGGGCCTTGCGCATCGCCTCCGCCTCCGCCAGCTCTGCGTTTTATTTCTCAGTGTCGGCGGCAGCAGGGAGGGTCCCGCTGCCCGCGTCGACCTGCATGTCCGAGTCATCGCCCTTGGACTCCAGCTGCTTGCGCAAATCGGCAAGCTGCTTCTCCAGGGCCTTCTCACGCGCTGACTTGTTGCTGTCCGTGCCCTTGCCTTTGGCCTTGCCACCTGCCGCCGAGGACCAGGAAAGAGCCTTGGGCGGCTTGATGGAGAAAAAGGCCACGCTCTTGTCGCACTTGCATCTGCCTCCGCATACGTTGGCAACCACAGGGTTCCTCCAACGTTCACCCGACTTGTTGGTGCACCAGCGACATCGCCACGGCTTGGCCCAAACCATCCGACTCTGCTGGTGGCGAGACGCCTAGGACATCGCGGGGGCCCGCAGGCCCAGGCTGCAGCACGAGATGTCGGGCCGCCACTGAGCCCCTTAAGGTGCTGGCTGGGAAGATCAAATGTCGAGCGCAAGCGCCCTGGCACTGGCCGCGGACTAGCGGTATCCGTGCGCTACGCTGAGGAACTCATAGCCTTGAGCCGAAATGGCTACGGAAGGAGGTGGAGGAGAAGGAGGAGGAGGAGGAGCAAGAGGAGGAGGGGGAGAAGGAGGAGGAGGAGGAGGAGAAAGAGGAGGAGGATGAGGAGGAGGAGAAGGAGGAGGAGGAGGAGCGAAAGCGAGGAGGAGCGAGGAGGAGGAACGAGGAGAAGGAGGAGAAGGAGGAGGAGGAGGAG